ATGACGGCGTATGCCTTCTTCGTGCAGACCTGCAGGGAGGAGCACAAGAAGCAGCACCCAGATGAAAATGTGGTGTTTGCCGAGTTCTCAAAGAAGTGTGCAGAGAGGTGGAAGGTGAGTCTCATCAGCTTTTATTTTATTCCAGTTAGAATCCGTCTCAACCGAGTGGTGCCCCATGTTTTGAAATTGCTTTATGCAACTTTGTCCCCCTTCTGTTGAAAATTTAAACAAAGTCCTGAACATTTTAGAGTTTGAAAGTAACTTAGCCACATTATTAGATTAGATTGTCCTCATGGCACACTTCGGTAAACCCGCGATTCTTTTCCTTTCGCCTCGGATGGCTTACATTTAGTTTCGAAGACAGCTAGTTTGTTCACTGACAGCCGTGCATACAGTGGGTGGCACCCCTCGGGGCGGGCCCTGGCTGGACTCTAGTTCTGGCCGGCCGATCGGACCTCGCGGGGCCGCGGGGCGCGGTGGTGGGTGCGACGGCCTCTGGTCAATTATCGCTGATGCGCCTGGCTGAGGATGCCCGGGCATCATGCCCCTGCACGGGACCTGTTGATGCGCTGCCGGGGTTGTCACTGCATGACCCCAGTGTCGCCCCTGTCCTGTCCTCCTGCCCCTTGGCCTGCGGCCCCCAGGGCCCCGGGGGGGCGGCCGGGTCACGGGCCCCCGCGCCCCCTCGCCGTGAGGCCTCTCTCGCCCCGCGGAGCTGCTGTATGCGGGGACCTGTCCGGTTTGGAGCTGTCACCGGGCTCGTCCTCCTGTTGTGGCGGGTCAGTGTCCCCGTTTCCCACCGTCCATAACCGCACGGCAACCCCCTGCCCCGCCGACCCCTCGCCCCGTGGAGGGTGGCTCGTCAGCTGGCCACTCGAGCTGTCACCCCGCCGCCCCTCTACCCCCGCCGCCGCGCAACTGCACACTTTGATCAATCGGCGACGCACCCCGCTGGGCGCCGGTTATAAACGTGATGCGAAAGAAACGCGAGAGGGATGTCTCGAGTCGGGGGGGCTGTTGTCCGCGCGCCGCCCTCCCTCCCTGACGTCAGCTCCGACAGCCAGACT